TTCCATGACGGGTTCAAGGTGGGAGCAGGTCCGACAGGTTCTCAAGAACATCGTCCCCATCTGCACCAAGCGGGACAAGGACGGCATCGACCTCTACTTCATCAACCACAGGTCCAACAACACGGGAGACGCCAGCGAGGGCAAGGCCGACGGAGGCTACTACAACATCTCCAACCCGGACACCGTCACCAAGATCTTCAACGGCACCCGCCCCTCCGGATCCACCCCCACGGGCGGGCGTTTGAGGAGCATCCTGAAGCCCTACCTTGCCAAGCTCGATGCGTCTGGGGACGCGGAGTCCGTGAAGCCCATCAACATCATCGTCATCACCGACGGAGTCCCCACAGACGACCCGGAGAGCGTCATCGTGCAGGCCGCCAGGAAGCTCGACGACATGGACGCCCCCCTGTACCAGGCCGGCATCCAGTTCTTCCAGGTCGGCAGCGAGGCCTCCGCCAGCAAGTCCCTCAAGGAGCTCGATGACGACCTTGTCAAGCAGGGCGTCCGCGACATGGTGGACACCTGCTCGTGGAAAGCCGACGGCGCAAAGGGAGCCAGGGGAGAGCTCACCGCATCCCAGATTCTCAAGGCCGTTCTTGGCGCCGTGGTGCGCAAGATTGACCGGGCTTCTGCCCCACCCGTATGAAGACTTCCTCGTTGAGCGTAGTATCTTTCAGGACTGAACATATTTCCTTTGTCTTCTTCTTTTCTCGTGTGTGTTGTTATCACCTATTTTTGTTTTTGCCTTGCTAGATCGAATTCAGAGCAATCTGACATTAGAAAGAGGATAAGAAGTCGACAGGCTTCTATTGTCCCGGTTAGAGTTTACGGTAAAGATGCTATTACAGCAGGTTGGAAAACAGCACTCGGAAGGACTAATATCCGCGGAGTAGTACACAGTTTCCTGAGCAATAAACTTTTTCCATGCACAAAACTTGTCTTTGTTGAATCTCGTGACTAATTCCCTATAAAACTCCCAGTTGTAGCACAAGAATACTCTTTGAGATCGAGATCTGACTGGCGGGAAACATAAAACCCGCGTCCCTTTCGTTTTTGACCGTACCGCCCAAAATAAACAAAACGCTAAGCAAAGATAAGAAAGGCTACAGAGACCAGGAGAAGCCCCCTTATCCCCCTTCCTCAGCCACGAAAGATATCCTATTTCTGTTCTCTTTTTTTCCGGCCCCTCCATAAATCGAAAAGGTATAACCCATTCCAGTATTCCCATCGACCATTACTTCCCCTGAGTCGAACTCGCTTCGGAATCTAGGCGACGCAAGTACAGAATCTCTCCTTCAGGGCTTTGATAGCTGCTTTTGCTACGGCTTCGTTGCCTTTCTTGTACGCGATAACGATGCACGGGGTAGGTAAACTTATTTTAACGCCTTCAGATGGCGCCGAGGAAGGGTAGAAGAAACAACTGCGCTGATTCTCACTAAACAGTCTGGAATAGAAGACTGAACGGGCAGGGCGTCTTCCTGCACGCCTATATGCTGGTGCGGGGAGGGGAGAGAAGAGATGTACCATATAGTCCTGTGGTGCCCCAGATACGAAACCCAGCGTACAAACGTCAAGACGCAGAGACCAATACGGACCCGATGAGACCTGAATATTATGGCACCTTTCGGCCTTATGACACGAGGGTCCGTTACGAGGGCTCTTTTGACCGCGTTCGCGAGTAGTCTGAAGTCGTACAACAAGCCTCTCTTGAATTCTAGATCCGAAGCACGAATATCAAAAAGTAAAGTATGAGAATGATAAAAGACAGGATCAAAGGCCTAAATGGAATATTGTCCATCTCGAATGCTGTAGGCTTGCTTCTCAAGCCGCCGTAAATTCGCATCACTGAGATGAGCCAGTCGGTGGTGCCAGAACGTCATCTGTGGACTAACGGGGTAGGCTGGAAAAGACAGGTTCGTCCATTATGTCGTCAACACCGTGGTGTTTGCTTGCGGTGTACCAGCTCCTCTTCCTTTCTTTGTTGCAAATACTCGCGCCCTTGCTTTGAAAACTCGACTTTGGCTCCTCGTTCGAGTAACTGGAGCACGGATATGAAGTCTGCTTGTGCAGGCGGGACAAAGAGGACATTGTCAAGAACGAGCCATTTCCTTCTGCCGCGTACATTGCACAGAACATTTACCGTCCCTACCCTGAGAGAGATGTGGTTGCATCAACGCTTCTGAGTGCGGGCCCATGGTACATACCCATCTGAAAAAACTTCGAGGTATCGTTGCATACGTCCTGGGTAGCACTACTGTCGACGATCCAGGCGTCGCGGATCGGGTGCGTTCTCATAGCCATCAAAGCAAGGATGTGGGTATATGCGGCGCCACTGCGCTCGACGCCATGCCCAAATGCCGCGTTGGCATCCTCTCCTGTAGCCTTGAGCACCATGAAAATGGGCTTCTTCGGGTCTTTCGGACTAGCCGCGTCGTCATCCTCGTCATCAGTGGAGCGCTGTCTCTTGAACGGCTTTCGACTGTTGGCTTGTATACCTTTTCGTCTTTCCCTTGGCCTTGTAGCTTCGGATTTTTCCTGAGGCCCTCGGTTTCGACGTGGTAGGGCTTTCGGCAGGGGCAGTAGGCAACATTGTCGGTCTCGATCCGGCATGTGGTTCCATCGGCGTTACTATCGCTTGGGCACTTGCCACCGTCCTCTCAGGCTTCTTTGTCTGCCGCCCCTTCGCACTAAACTGGGACCAGAGTCTTGACAGTTCGTGCGGGAATCAGGTTTCGAAGAATACACATGGGGATAAGAACTTGAATGAGAAAATCACCTTTCCGGAGGGGTTGCAATCCATGTTATTGAACATTGATCATTACTAGCGGATGACGGGGCCGGGGACCGGTTGCTTCACAATTCTGGTTGTCTGGATACACCCTAGTATATGCCAAAGCAATAAGACACAATGCACCCTGCTGTTAATAAACATGGCCACCCATCTTACGCATGTTGCCATACAATAAAAGGGTTGCCATAGTGTCAGCTGTGGTTGAATTCACTAAGAGGGCCGAATGCTATTGAAGGACCATTGCCATCTGCGGTATCGACGGATTCAGCCCAAGGGTTCCTCAGAAACTTTCCATGCTTATTAGCGACAGCGTTATAATGGCCATCAGTCATCGTTTCTTTGTCTGTCTGTTTCACCCAGAGTGTTGAATCCTCATATTGGTCCCATTTCCATCTTAGCCCAACGATCGGGCTGTTCGGTTGAG